TGAGGTTTATCTAATAAATGATGTATATAATTTTTCTCTTATTAATCCCATTTTTAAGTATATTAAATATTTTATTTCTTAAAAGAAATAGTAGTAATATCTTTAATATTTCTTTATCTTGATCTTTAATACTATTATATTATATAGTATTTTTTGTTTTAAACTATAGAATTTTTAACTTTCAATTTAGTATAGATTTTAATTGATTGTTAATTAATTCAATTTTTGTTAATTGAAACAATTTTATTCTTTCTGTTGATGGAATATCTATATTTTTTATTGGATTAAGTATTTTATTAATTCCTATATGTATATTGATTAGTTTAAGATCAATAAAGTATTTTAAAAAAGAATTTAATATATTACTATTTATATCAGTTATTTTATTAATAGGGGTATTTTCTATTTTAGATGTACTATGATTTTATATTTTATTCGAAAGCATATTGATACCGGTTTTTATTATGATTGGTATATGAGGGTACAGAGAAGAAAAAATTAAAGCTGCTTTTTCTTTTTTCTTTTATACTTTAATAGGATCTTTGTTAATGTTAATAAGTATATTTAAATTATATTCTTTAATTGGAACTACTAATTATGAAAATTTATCAATCATAAAAATCCCATATGATATTCAATTTTGATTATTTATAGGGTTTTTCATAGGTTTAGCTGTAAAAATACCAATGGTACCATTTCATATTTGACTCCCACAAGCTCATGTAGAAGCACCAATAGCAGGTTCAATTTTATTAGCAGGAATACTTTTAAAATTAGGGGGGTATGGATTGATAAGATTTTGTTATCCAATGTTTCCTTCAGCCTCTCAATTTTATTATCCATTAATTATTATAATAAGTATAATAGCCATAGTTTATGGTGCTTTAACTACATGTCGTCAAATAGATATAAAACGTTTAATTGCTTATTCTTCAGTATCTCATATGGGTTTAGTAACTGTAGGTATTTTTTCACATTCTATTGAAGGATTAACAGGATCAATATTAATGATGATTGCTCATGGTTTATCTAGTTCAGGCCTATTTATTATAACTTCAATTGTTTATTTCAGATTTCATTCTAGAATTATAAAATATTTTAGAGGTTTAACTATTACTATGCCCATCTTGAGTATAATTACATTTATTTTGATTTTAGCTAATATTTCATTTCCATTAACATTGAATTTTATAGCTGAATTATTTTTGATAATTTCAGCTTTTAAATTTTCTTTATTTATAATTTTATTAATCTTATTAGGTGTTTTTATAAATTTAATATATTCTTTATGAGTTTATAATAGAATGTTTTTTGGTTCAAATTCAATTCATTTAAAATTTTCAAGAGATATAGTAAATTTCGAATTTCAAAGTCTACTGCCATTAATAATATTTATTGTTATATTAGGAATTTATCCTAATATATTAATTAATCCTATAACATTTAGTTCTTATATTAATATTTCTATATAATGAGAATTAGAAAAAATAATCATCTTATAAAACACATTAATTCTACTTTAATCGATCTTCCTTCTCCATCAAATATAAATTATTTATGGAATTTTGGATCCTTACTAGGATTGTGCTTTGCAATTCAATTAGTTACTGGTATTTTTTTAGCCATGCACTATTGTGGAGATATAATTCTAGCTTTTAAATCAATAGTTCATATATGTAGAGACGTAAATTACGGATTTCTATTAAAATCAATTCACGCTAACGGAGCTTCTTTGTTTTTTATCTGTGTTTATGTTCATATAGGTAAAAGTTTATATTATGGGGGTTATCAAAAAAAACCTATTTGATTTTCGGGTATAATTATATTTATAGTAATGATGATTACTGCTTTTATAGGTTATGTTTTACCTTGGGGACAAATGTCTTTTTGAGGAGCCACTGTTATCACAAATTTTTTATCTGCAATCCCATATATAGGGGATGATATAGTTCAATGAATTTGAGGTGGATTTAGTGTAAATAATGCTACCTTAGGTAGATTTTTTAGCCTGCATTATTTATTTCCGTTTGAAGTTAGCATCATTAATTTTAATTCATATAGTGTTAATACATAGTGTTGGATCAAGCAATCCTTTAGGAATTAATAGCAACTTTGATAAAGTTCCATTTCATTGATATTTTGCAATAAAAGATATATATGGATTCTTTATATTAATATTTATTTTATTATTTATAGTATTTTTTTATACTAATACCTTAGGAGACCCAGAAAATTTTATTAATGCTAATTCATTAGTTACCCCCGTTCATATAATGCCAGAATGATATTTTTTATTTGCTTACGCCATATTAAGATCTATTCCTAATAAATTAGGAGGAGTTTTAGCTTTAATTTTAAGTATAGTAATATTATTTATTATTCCATTTTTACATACTAATAAATTTTTTTCTTTAACCTTTAGACCAATAGGGAAATTATTATATTGAGTGTTTATAGCAAATTTTATTTTATTAACTTGATTAGGTTCTAAACCTATAGAAAACCCTTATATATTGATTAGTATAATTTCTAGCTTATTTTATTTTTTTTACTTTTTATTTATTATTCCAATAATAGAAAAATTAGAAAATTATTTATTTTTTCAAAAAATAAGTGTATAATTGAATCACACGTTGAATGTTTTCAACTAATCACAAAGATATAGGAACTTTATATATAATTTTTGGCGCATTTTCTGGAATGATAGGAACTGCTTTAAGTATGTTAATTAGAATAGAACTATCAGCACCAGGGAGAGTAATAGGAGATGATCATTTATATAATGTTATAGTCACAGCTCATGCTTTTGTAATGATATTTTTTTTAGTTATGCCAGTTTTAATAGGAGGTTATGGGAATTGATTTGTACCTATATATATAGGAGCCCCAGATATGGCTTTTCCTAGATTAAATAATTTAAGTTTTTGATTACTTCCTCCAGCATTAATCTTACTTTTAACTTCATCCTTAGTTGAACAAGGAGCAGGAACAGGTTGAACTGTTTACCTCCCATTATCTGGGCCTTTAGCTCATTCAGGGGGATCTGTAGATTTAGCTATTTTTAGTCTTCATTGTGCTGGATTTTCTTCCATTGCAGGAGCAATTAATTTTATTACAACTATTTTTAATATGAGAACACCAGGTTTAACATTTGACAAACTTCCTTTATTTGCATGATCAGTGTTAATAACAGCATTTTTATTACTCCTTTCTTTACCTGTTTTAGCAGGAGCAATAACTATGCTATTAACTGATAGAAATTTTAATACTACTTTTTTTGATCCAGCTGGAGGGGGAGACCCTGTTTTATATCAACATTTATTTTGATTTTTTGGTCACCCTGAAGTTTATATTTTAATAATTCCAGGATTTGGAATTATATCTCAAATCATACCTATATTTAGCTCAAAAAATCAAGTTTTTGGATATTTAGGTATGATATATGCTCAATTAGCTATAGCTTTCTTTAGGTTTTATTGTTTGAGCTCATCATATGTTTACTGTAGGAATGGATGTTGATACTAGAGCTTATTTTACAGCAGCTACTATGATTATTGCTGTCCCAACAGGAATTAAAATTTTTAGTTGATTAGCAACAATGTATGGAGGAAAAATTAATTTATCTACACCTATGTTATGAGCTACTGGTTTTATATTTTTATTCACTTTAGGTGGATTAACTGGTGTAATTTTAGCTAACGGATCATTAGATATTTTATTACATGATACATATTATGTAGTAGCTCATTTTCATTATGTTTTATCATTAGGTGCAGTATTTGCTATGTTTGGAGGATTTTATTTTTGATTTGGAAAAATTTCTGGATTTGCTATTAATGAAACTTTTGGTAAAATTCATTTTTGAATTACTTTTATAGGAGTAAATTTAACTTTTTTCCCTCAACATTTCTTAGGATTAGCAGGAATGCCTTGAAGATATGCAGACTTTCCAGATAGCTTATTTACTTGGAATGCTATTAGCTCTTTAGGCTCTATTATTTCTATAATAGGAGTAGTATGATTCATTTATGTAATTTTTGATGCTTTCTATTCGGAAGAAAAATTTATTTCTTGAAATAACTTAGATGTAGAAAAAATAAATACTTTAGAATGATCATTAAATTGTCCACCTAGTCATCATACTTTTAATGAATTACTTTTTATAAATCATTCAACCCATTAAAAACAAGGGAATCAAAAAAACTTTTCGGTTTTTTTCTCTCCTAAAAGAGGATCACCCGACCCCCCCCCCAGTCCAGGCGCAGCACTGGCGCACCCCCTGCTGCGGTTATCGCAGGGGGCCCCGCGCCGCACCAACCCCCCACTAAGAAAACCAAATAAAGAGCTCTTTATTTGGTTTTCTTTATTTGGTTCTTCTTTGCTCCTCGAGAATTTCTCTCAGTGGGATTGTTTACTTTATATAACAACAAATTTAATTTAACATTGATTATCATATTTGAAGATAAATAAATTTAATCACGTTAATTAAGTTATGAAAAATTTCATGTTATGCGAAAAATCTGGTCTCAATACGTGTCGTCACTTTGGTCAAATCGCGCTTTGCTTTTGATTACGCAATCAAGTTGTTTTTGGGTTTTAGATTTTTTTTTTTAGATTTAGATCGTTAAATATAATTAAAAAAGACTTAATGTCTAAATCGCTAATATCGTCTGTAGTCGGAAAAAGCATGTAACGGTCCTTTCGATTTTAAAATCGACACTCGAATCAATAGCCTTTATAATGGTCCATGATAAAACGATTTTGAAGTCCGACTCTAATAATTTAATTTTTTATTAATACGAACTTCGATCCGTTTAAAAATAAACGGAATTAAAGTAAACAAGTGCATACACAATTTAAAAAAATTAATACTCTTGCAATTGAAACGGTTACTAATTTTAAAGACCAATTTAAATAAAATTTGATAATTCCTAAAATTTTTATTTTAATATTTAATAATTTTTAAGACCGATTATAAAATTAAAAAATCAATAAAAAAATTTTAAAAAGGTTTTGTCATTTTTCAATTAAAAAACCGTTAACAAAACTAAAAAAAAAAATTATTTCAATTTCCCACATTAATTTTAGGTAGGGTAACTTTTAGGAAATGTTTCTGAAAATGGCCCTAAGGGCTGAAATATACTGTGATTTTGGGTGAGATTGTCTGAGATAGGTAAATAACGAGATTGCGAAATTTCAAGACTATTGTTTGCATTGTGAAGTAAATTATCTTGAAGTTCAAAAGAACTGAATTCAAAATGTTCTGTTAATGGTAAGGAACATCTATGCTTTTTGCTAGATACACTGTGCGCATTTTTATAATGTAAGTCAGAGTTAGATGTCGAGAATGAGCGTTCTATTATTGGGGTTGCTTGATTAAAATTTGAAGTTGCATGCGTTTCTGGAGATGCATAGGTAAATCGGGTACCATCATCAAAGCCAGGCAAATAGTAAAAACTACTTTCGTGTATATTATTTGGACTTGCAGTCGGAATATGGGATTCAAAATTTTGACATAAATTATGGCGTGCTGTAGCAGATTGGTGCATTGTGAAAGTAGAGCGATGATCGGTTGGCATTGCATGATATTTCGTGCATTGATTACTTAAAATACTATTAACATCAAATTGTTTATTTCTCTTTGTGAAAGGTTTTTCGCTAATCAGAGTATCTTTATGTGTTTCATTAAGTTTTTCATTTGTAAGATGTTCTTTGCGTGTTTCATTAGATTTTCCGTATGTAAAAAGGTCATTATAAAATGGATGTGTTTCATTATGACAGTATTTTTCTGAAAAATTGCGATTGCTATCTATTACATTTTCAGTTAAAAAATTTTCCCAAGGTTTTTTAATGGAAACTTTCTGAAACATGTTTTCATTTAGATTCCACTCTCCGACTTTACTACTATCTTTGCTCGTCACTAATAACTTATCAGTTGTAACACTTTCTTTATATGAATTTTGCATACAATCATGAAATATAGAAACAGTGTGGCCCGTTAGCTTTTCATTAAAATTTTCTTTTTTATCTTTGCTTATAAAGCAGTTATCAACAGCTAAACTTTGTAACACTACTGGTTGCAAAACAACTTCACGTTTAGAATTTGAATCAGATGAAATAGTTGACAATAAACCCGAGTCAGTTTTAAAACATTTTTTAACCAAATAATTGTTTGAACTGGAACATCTCTTTTTTAAGAAATCTAAATTTTCATTTTTAATTTTTATAGTATTCAATAACTCAAATTTGTTTTCTGTATTCGAATTTTCTCCTGTTTTAGATTCGTTCTCAGAATTTTTAAAATCTTCTTTTAAAATTGATGATGAAGCTTTTTTTAACGTTTTATCTTCAACTAAAGGCATCGAAATAGGCAACTGATCAAAGAAAGCGTCTTTTTTATTGTCATTATTACATTTATCTTGACCTTCAACGTCGATATCTTTAGAGAAATACAAACTTTTTTTAAAAATACTAAAAGTAGGAAGTTTTTCTGTTTTATTCTGAAGCAAAGGAACAATTTCATCCTTTCTAATATTATAATTGATACCAATGTTGTTAACAATATTATTATATTCAATAGCGTTGGTGTTAATAGTGTCTTTATGCCCAATAGCAACATTGTTAACAGTATCGATATCCTCGATCGTAGTCTTTTTAATGATATTATTATATTCAACTGTTTCATTTAGTTGAGATTTATGAGAGTTTTTATCTGGATTTACATTTATAAGACTAGCAATACTAAAGCTATTTGTTTTACTGTTGAGCAAATTTTTTTTCTCGTGATCAGATTTCTTAAACTGCCCTACTTCCATAAAAGGTTTTATATCAGATATATTAGTAAATGCTATACAAGGAGACTTATTTAGCGCTGCTGTATCAGCTAGTAAAGATAAGTCATCAAAACTGCGTTCATTTTTCAATAACCTTTCTTTTAAGCGACCATTTATCTTTTCTTGATAATCTTCGTAGCCATGATCTTTTTTGTTAAGTTTCTTATGTTGATAAAACACCATGCTAAGTCGAGTAGGTTCAGAACGCTCAGGATTTCTTAAAGCTGTGGTAGCATGAAGCTCTTTTTTGGCACATTCAACAAGAAATGAGCCATGACCTAGAGCAATAGCAACCCCACCCATTTCTTGAGTTATAACAGTAGGCTTGGAAACATGTTCTTTACATTTCTTAAACGGCGAACTTGAATTATTGTGTTCCATTTTCTTAGTAGATAACTTATAATCTTCAAAATTAAAATAATCACTACATTGTCGATAAACAGGAATTTCAGATTCATCTACAAAAATCATTTCTTTCTTTATATTTTGAATAGGCAATGTTTCTCTTTGACTAAGAACATAAGGAACATCTGATTCGCTACAAAAACGAGGATGTTTAGGAAAATCAGAGCAAAGTAAGTTTGCTCCTTCATTTTTTAAAAAAGTTTTTTGTTCATTACCAAATTTTTTAAGGTTTACTGCAACTGGATTAACATATCTTCCGCAAGTATCGTGACGCGCTGTAATTTTACTTTTGATCAAATGAGGTGGGTTGTCATAGTTACAAGGGAGAATATTTCCTCTGTCATCTAACAACTGGTACAATGGTAACACATGAAGTTGTTCATCAGTTCTTTCATTATAATTGGGTTTTAACAGGGTACAAACCTATTTTTAAAAATTTAATTATTTATTTTACACCAAATTTAAAAAAATCTAGTCTAAAAAAATATAGCAGATATTATTATTATTAAAAATAAATTAAACACAAAACTTAACACAATATTAAATCAAAAACTTTTTATAAAAATAAACATTTATTATGAAACACATTTCTTAACCAGTCTATTGTTTTACAGGGTTCGGGTTTAAACATACATTCAAAGAATAGATGAATATAAAGAACTTTATTTATATATTTAGAAAGCAAAAAGAAAAATATCAATTTTTTTTTTTTTTGCCATTCTAAATGAAATAAAAAAATGACTAGAATAAAGTCAACACTTTAAAAATATAAAAGCAAGGAAAATTATTACTAAAAAATTGAGATCCACAACAGAAATTGCGAAAATTGCAGCCTGGTAACAAAAATATCAAAAAATTTAAGATTATAAAATATGAAGGGAAAGAGATAAATCTTTTTACTAAATATAAATTCATCAAGAGATTTTAAATTTTAGTGTTTAAAAGTTATGTTAAGTTCTCACTCTACTTAAAAAACTTTCTACCCTACACAAAAAAATTTCCACCTCACTCAAAAGTTTTAATTATCATTATCTTATAATTTATTTTAATATTTTCTGTTTATTACATTATTATACTAAGGTCATTACAAAAATATTTAGTGATTATTTACAGAAAAATCACAATATTCATAGACATAATAATTATAGACAGAATATTTAGTGAATATTTTCATTTAACATTTAGTAATTGTAAAATAATAATAAATAGTTGTAAAAGGTTTAAAAAAAAATATTATAAGATAAAATTTAAACCTATTGATGAACTTAAAGTTAGTATTATAAATACCATTCAGGGTAGAAGCTGGAAAGTGCAAACTTTATGGGGTATTTTTTGGAAACAAAATCAAAAACCACTAGTATTATTTGCAAAACATTCAACATATTTGACATAAACATGAACATATAAAAAAATCTGAAACATTAAATAATCAATTTTAAGCCAACTATAAAAGAAAAACATATTAACATGCAACATTAAAAAAAAAGCGAAAAAAATTAAATAATATTAAAGGGTATAAATATAAAATATTATTGGGGTGTTAATGAGTTGCACATTAATGAATTCAGACATAAAAACAAATATACAGATCCAACCTAAATTTATTGATACTACATCTCACTGATTTATTAATAATACATCTCACTGAATTCATTGATACTACATCTCACTGAATTCATTGATACTACATCTCACTGAACTTATTGATACTACATTAAGATGTGTCAATTATGCATTTTTATTAAAATTGTAAAAAGAGCGGTTTTTTTATTTGTGGGAAACAATATTTAAAACTTGGAAAAAATATTTTAAAAAATTTTTAGCTTGGTAATTTTGTCTTTAAAAAATTAATTTCCCTTGTAAAAAAAATACAAAATTTTTTTTTATCAATTAAGTCAATCTGGGTATCAAAAGAAGCGTATTTAAATAAGGATTTAAAATTTTTTATTTTTTTTTAAAAACGAAAAATTTAGGTTTTATAAAAGGAAAACTACCAGGAGCAATTTCTAAGAAGGTTTACTGAAAAAACTCTAAAATCTTAATTTTTTAAAAAAAACAAATATTATTTTAAAACTTTGTTTTTTTAATTACGCTTCTTTTGAAATCCACCTTGACCTAATTAGAAAAAGAAACTTTTGGTAATACAAGTGGGCAACTATTAACAATTTAAAAGAAAAAAAAGGGAAAATCGACACATCCTACTTACACGTTTTTTTCTGTTTGGGAGTATTCTTATCAAAGCCTACAGTAAATGTAATTTATAACTACCATTACGATTGTCATTTGTTATGTAAAACCTTGTGTTAGTTAAATAACCAAAAAGTAAATAATTACCACATATCCAAAAAAAAAAAAACTCAAAAAAAAAAGTCTAATTTTTTAATTTAAAAAAAATATATACCGTTTAATCAATTTTATCTTATCTATTTAGAAAACAGTGACAACAGCTTAGTTTAATTCCAATGTTAGCCAGCCCTTGTAATTTCCCTAGGTTCCACTCAAACCAGTTTATAAAAGGGCTAAGTTCTGTGAAAAAAGGAAGAAAAATATGTACATAAACTTATTAGAATATATGTTTTTCAAAATACTATTTTCGACAATTAAAATTTGTTAATAACTTAATGTAAACATAAAGAAAAAAACAATCATCACTCAATAAAAATAAGAAAGAAGAGGTTTATAAGTAATATTTAATAATATTTCTTTAAAAAGTTTTAAAAAAGTATTAAATAAATATGTTTTTCTTAACTAGCCTCAAGCGATTTTAATATTATTTTAGCCAATTAAGAAGTAAAGCTTAACACTTTAAAGTTCCAAGCTACATATAGCTAGAATTTCATAGCTTAAAATTTGTATTCTTGAAACCAGGTAATGTGTGTATATTCACATATATATACAGGGCCATCCCAAGGAGGGGGATCATAGGAGGTGTCTAACCCCCTAGTAAATTAAATAGCCAGCAAATTTGCACACTGGAGTCAGCAAAATTGCAGCTGTAGCTGGCAGTCGACAATATATATATATATATATATATATATATATATATATATATAATATATATATACATATATATATATATATATATATATATATATATATATATATATATATATATATATATATATATATATATATATATATGTTAATTCACCTCCTTAAGGCCGAGAAGGCCACTACAGACAAGGAGACTACTTATTTGTGGTTATATAACCCTCTCTCAACTCTATAACTCCGAAACACGAACCTTGATAAACAAGGCTGCTGCGCGGAGAAATGAGTTGAAGGCGGTACCAGGGGCGTAATGGGGATTGAATATATATATATATATATATATATATATATATATATATATATATATATATATATATATATATATATATATATATATATATATATATATATATATATATTATATATATATATATAAGGGATAGCTCTTTTACTTAATTTGATGCAAAAAGGCAAACTAATTTTAAGCGAAAAGTACTTTACATAACTCATATAATAAAAATTATAATTTACATTTAAAAGTAATTCTTTTTTTTTTTTTGCATAAATTATAGAACATGCAAAACTTAATTACTTAAGTTAAGTTTTTTAAATGAGTAACTGTTACTTGAAAAGTAATTTATTTTTACATATAAAAGTAATTTACATTTTTACTTTTAGTTGCGTAAGTAACTTACTTTTAACGGTAAATCGTGTAAAGTAATTTACTTTCAAAAGTAATTTTGGTTATAATTATGTAAGAAACTTACATCAAAATGTAATTTACTTTTTATATGTAAGTTATTTATGAAGTAAACTTCTGCAAATACAATATTTAAAAAAATATAACACTTACATTACAAAGTAAAATAAAACATAAAACCAAATTACTTTTACGTGTAAAAGTAACTTGGTTTTATCAAAAACAGCTAACATAAAAGTAATTTGAAAGAAATTGTTATTTACAATAACAAATGAAAGTAAATTTTGTCTTTGAAATTTTTTGATTATATTTTACTTACTTAGTAAGTAAAATGTATTTATATTATTTACTTTCTCAAAGAAATCTTCTCAAAGAGCAGCAAAACTTTTGTTAAATCAAAATTTCATGTTGATTTAACATAAATTTTGAGATAGGTAGCATATTCAAATGCATTGTCTGTTTGTGGGTACTTCTGGGTAATACTTCAGGTAACACTCTAATGTATGTGGGCAGTGTTTGTATTGGGGAATTGTAAAAGGATTTCTTTTAAAATATATCATAAAAGGTAATTTTATTATAATTAGAGGCAAATATAGTCAACATGAGGGTATACCAGTAGAGTAGAGACAAGCTCCCTGTTGCATGAGAGCCATAATTCTAATAAGGGCTGCTAAATAATCATTATTTTTTTGTTTTTGAAAATGAAACTTTGACAGAGGTGGGGGAGGAGGGGGCATAATTTCTTGCTATGCTACTGAATGCTAACCATGTATACAAACCTTGACTAAGTTACTGTTTGATAGAGAGCGCTTTTTTACAGTTTTTTTCTTTGTATTTTCCTTTTCAATCAAATATTTTGTTATGGTAATGATCCAACACAACATTTTTGATATCCGCAAGGACATCGACTGCTAAAAAAGTTTTCAAAAAATTACTAGTCATTTAAACTATCTGCTGTGATCTATATAAAGGAGTGTTTATCAGATACATTCTTTTATTGCGTTTTATTATTTTGAAAAAAGAAGATAAGATGGTAAAGACAGTAAGATGGTAAAGACATCTTCTACTATAGGTTGTGGGCACCCAAAACTTAGAATAAAATTGCAAAATGCGGAGCCATTTTCAAAGCAAGAATAATAAACCAGACAGTCTTTTAAAACAAATTAAAAAATAAATTTTTACACTTTAAAATAACTGATGTAAATAACAGCAAGATTATTAAAAAAAAAATTAGAGTTCAAAAAAAAAAAAAAAAAGGATATTTTTTCATTACCACAACAGCTGCTTAGTTTAATTATTTAATATAGCAAGTTTAGTAGGGTGGTTCAAAAAATACACTTTTTAATTTAAAATTATATGGTTGATTGTGAAGAAAAGTTTATGATGAAACAACATCAAGTTAACTTTTTTTTCAGTAAATTTTTATTATTTTTTTTACTTTAAATTTGCAAAAATTTAAAAATGAAAAAAAGAACAAATATGCAAATCTCAATATTTAAACAACCATATTCCAATCAAATATTTAAAAGTGTAGCAAGTTTTGTTTTGTTTTTGTTTTGTTTGAAAATTTAAAACTATGCAATGACACAGAGCAAACTACAAACACTTAAATGTTTATGTTTATGTAAAATAAAAGCTTTGCAAAAATATTGCGATAATCTGAGTCTGTTAACAATAAACCCCTAAAATGTTTACCTTCCTTTCATGCTATAAATGTGAGAGTGACAAGTTTCTAACATTTATATTTGCAATTTTTAACATTTTAAACTAATTTTAAGTTCATTAATAAGTCTTTAATGTCATGCAATACTCTCTTAGTGTTCAAAAATTATGACCACATAAATTTTGAACAACACCCCCAATTATTTAGGGGATTTAAAATATTATCTTTAATTAAGTTTTAAGTTCGTCTGACAATCAAATTCTGTTCCTCATTTAAAAGGTCAAAAGTTAATTTAACTGTTTTGTTTTTTTTGTAAATAAGTAATCAAATGACTCAGACTTCATCTTTAAATTTGTCAAAAAAAAAATGAAGAAAATTGAGTTTTTATAAGTGGCTTTAGTCCACAAGATCATTAGATTTTCAAACAATATTATCAAATTAATTCTTTTTTTTTAAATTAATTTGATCATTAATTGTTTTTTTTATAACATAAAGACACTCTTTAAGGCTGATTTTTTATTTTCATAATTTTTTTTTTAATTTAATTTGATGTGACAAATAATTAATTACTTTTCTTTTGTAAAATATACATATGGCAGGGGAAAGAAGATAAAAATAGTCTTATGCCCAAACCCCTAATAATCTGTAAGTAATATAGTCATTAAAAATTGATGATCATGTGTTTTTCTGAATTTGAGTTTAGTAATAAGTTAAATTTAGTTGACAATTATAATTTGGTAACTTTTGGAAATATACTTAAAAAATTAAAATATAAGTAGCTGAAATACCTATAATAAATAAAAGTTTTACTGTTTTAGTATGTTATTTTAGAAAAAGAGAAATCTTTTTCTAAAATAACATACTAAAACAGGAGAAATATTGCATAAATAACAGAAATTTTGGATAGTTTTACTTTTTTAACATATAAAAATAATGATTGTAAAAAATATTATCCATAAAAACATAAATTAAACAAAATGTTCTTATTTATATCACATTAGAATGTTTTGGAAAATGTAGAAACAACCACCTTATTTGGTTTGGGTGTAAACTTTATATAATCATAACCTTTGAATTATGAATTTTAAAACCTGTTGATATAAATTTAGTGTAAGAAAATAAAATTAAAAGTTACTTATTTGTTGCCCTCACATTTAGGACAGGGATAATAAATGTTGTAGGGTATTTTTTTTCCAGGCTCCCATTACCACAACCTTTATTTCTTAATCTACGCATAAATCATTGCTTAGCTACAGCTCGGGTTTTACGTTTATTACACGGTAGCGTAGCAAAATAATTTTGGTTAGTAGACATACGTGGTCTAGGTGCCTAATTTCTGTTTCTCTGAAACAATAACTTTTACTGAGAAAAACTCATTAAATATATCTTGATGCTCCTAAACCCTGTGGCCCTGAGCCTAGTTGCTTGAAGGGTATGCAAACTGAAGAAATGAAAAAAATTACCAACCTCATTTCTATGTTCTTTAACACTTTAATCTCGGCAGTTAGGTCAGCATTGCTAAATGCCGACCCTAATTCCGAGGATTGTATATGTAAAAGTAAATTACAATTTGAGGAACTTTTTATTATATAATGTAATTTTAAAAAGTAATTAACTTTTACATGTAAAAGTAAATAGCTTTTTCATGTGATTTTTTAAAGTAAAAGAGCTGTCTCTAATATAACGAAATAGTGTATTGTAGAAATAGTGTATTGTAATGTTGAATAATTTACTTTTTATAATTTAATTACAAAGACAAGGTAGATAAGTAGATGATGTAATCAGGTTAGGGATATCCTAACTTAAAAATTTTTTTTGTAGAAAAAAACTCTTTTTATAAAAAAACAAGACAAAATTAAAGAAATCAACTTCTAAAAATATTTTTGGGTGCTAAATGGCTATACAAAATTTTATGGGTCCCTAATAATAAACACAACAAAAAAAAAACCTTTAAAAGGAAGTGTCTCAAAAGAAGCAAAATAATTTTTTTTATTTTTTTATTTTATTTAATAAATCTTAAAATTTTCATATATGGTTGAAATTTTTAGATTTCATATTTAGCTTTTGTTTAATTAAACTTGATATATCTGACAAAGAGAATATGGTAAGATTTAAAATTATGCAAATATGACACTCAAGTAAAGACTAAAATCTTTACTTGAATGTCATATTGGCATAACATTTTTACTTTGAAATTTCTATTAAAGTAAAAAGATAATACTTTGATAGAAATTTCATATAATCAAATTTCACCTTGAAGAATATCTTGACAGGGCAGAGGTTCCCACTAGATATTGCATAAAAACAAACATCAGATGCTGTGCAAAAAAATTTAGATAAAATACTGAAAAGGTGAAAAGTTCATTCAAGTCATTGTTCTCTGAAACAATTTAATTAAATTAAGGGGATTTGAGACTACAAATATTTATATTGAACAACCCAATACGGCATTTATCTGCTATTTCTTCAAAATGAGTCTAAAAGACATTTAAAAAATGATGTAAATTGGTTATTTCCTGTCAAATCATCAGGGGCATGACCCCCTATGTTATGGATTTTGAAAATTTTTATAATTATTATAGAATATATTTTATAAAAAAAATGATTTTTCTTAATTTTTAATTGAATATTTAGACATGCTTGTTTGAAGCGAAATGCTTTTTTCCATTTCAAATAAGCTTTTGTCAAACATTAGAATATTTCAAACTTAAATATCAACACGAAAAATAACAAAATGTTAAATGTGTAAAAAAAAAATTCCCATAGAAATAAGATTATGTGGGGGGAAAAAAAACATGACAAACCATTGTGGTGCCATTGTTCAGATCATGAATATCTCGATGACTATGTGCACAGAAATCCAGACAACATGTCACACCTGAAAATGGTCGACCTTTATTTAATCCAATACGGCATTTATCTGCTATTTCTTCAAAATGAGTCTAAAAGACATTTTATAAAATGATGTAAATTGGTTATTTCCTGTCAAATCAACAGAGACATATAACTTTATGTTTTGAATTTTGAAAATTTTTATATTATAGAATTTATATAAGCTAAATCTAAAGTTTGAGTTTCAAACTTCTTATATTTCTGTGGATATTCAGGGTTTAATTTCAACATTTTTTAAAACATGTTTTTTTTTTTACATTGAATTTAATAGTCTTCACGGCGGATTTGAATTCTAATTTGTTATGAGCACAATAACTACACGTAAACTGAATAATAAAGGTATAAATGTTGAGGTATTTTTAAGGTCAAAATGATTTTTAAGGTCAAAATGATCTCAACAATTTTTCTCCCTGCTTTTTACAACTTAAAACATTGGTATAAAATATGACTTTAAAAGCAAAAGATAATATTCCATTTTTCATCAATTCTCAATACAGCCTATATAAAGTTTTTTTAAATGCTGAGACATAAAATTTATTGTTAAGTTATTTGAACCTGGAGTGGGCTCAAAGTTAGGAATAGGGAGCATAATGGGTAATCCTGTTTTGTTTTTGCACAGAAATCATAGGAACATAAGGATCTCAGATTATGGACTTCATTCTAGCAATTTTCGACGGAATCAAGACTGAGTTAAATGCCAGACTAATGGCCTATGACCTCATCTCATTCTTGCATAACCAATTGCCTATAAGCTTGGCCCTAAAACAGGGTGCTCCATCTAAAAATGGAAAGTTTTATTCTGTTAATGCTGAGCATTATGTATAATAAGTGTATAGAAAACAACAGCTCTTTACTTATTACACTAAGGCAAATGTTCTACAAATTAGTCATATTAAAAACTTTACTGATAGATGTGCAGCGCAATATAAAGTTTAAAAACATTTAATTTATAATGGTTTAATAAATACAAATAAATGAAGTTCGATCATTTTTACAACCAAAGTTTGCTATGGGAAGAACCTTGTCATGAACAAGATGCTGTCACCATTTTATAACAATAAATGTACATCTCTTTTTAAAAAGTTCTTATCTGCTCCAGCTAAAATTAGAAAAAAAAACATACAGTATAGTATTCTACAATAACTACACAAAGAACACTATAGAAATGATTTCTTCAAAGCTCAATTATTTTGTTCAATAACTTATTGCAAACTGATTTTTGTAAATTCTGTATACACAACAATTTATTGTAGATGGTGGGTCAATGATACATGATTTAATGGCACTCAACATATATCTTCTTGTGCAGAACAAATAAACCATGTAAATGCATAAATTAAATATCATAATATTCTTCTCTCTCACCTTTTTTGATTATAATTCCAATCCATCAAAGGTTCAATCATTCTTGCAAGCTACATAATCCATGATAATCAGCTCATTTCGTATTTGCACAAGGTCAAATGTCTTAACACCAGTTGACAAAACTTTTTAAAAAGAGAAGTACATTTATTGTTATAAAATGGTGACAGCATCTTGTTCATGACAAGGTTCTTCCCATAGCAAACTTTGGTTGTAAAAATGATCGAACTTTATTTATTTGTATTTATTAAACCATTATAAATTAAATGTTTTTAAACTTTATATTACGCTGCACATCTATCAGTAAAGTTTTTAATATGACTAATTTGTAGAACATTTGCCTTAGTGTAATAAGTAAAGAGCTGTTGTTTTCTATACACTTATTATACATAATGCTCAGCATTAACAGAATAAAACTTTCCATTTTTAGCTGATAATAAATACATAGTTTCATATTTTTTAGCTTTTGTGGTCTTTCATGTAAGATAAATATACATTAACAAATTCTGCAGACTTTATAAGTGACCATGGTTCTGGATCTGTATTTTTGAAGAGTAATTTGAATAAATTCTAGTTTTTAAAAAAAATTTATTTAAAAGTGAAAATAGATAAACTTTTTTTCAATTAAAAAGTGTAATATCTTTAAAAAAATTTTATTATTGTACAAGATGGTGTTAATGTAGTCAAAGAATCAAGCCTTAGTTATTTTGGTTGTTGCATCTTCAGTAAATTGACTAAATTTTCTTTTGGCAGCTGGTAAACTATGGTATTATGGCACTGATTTAAGGATCCTCAAACATACTTTATTACAAAATGTTCTATAATTGCTCAATTATGTTACACTTGGACTGTTCCTGACCACAAATCATTGGAAAACTATTTGTAGAAAAATGCTGACTTTTTTGTTGATGGTTATTTGTAGTACCTTCAACATATTCGAGTAAAATATGATTCAAATAATAATCGATCTTAACTGTTATATAAATTTATATGGCACAACAGCCAATTCAGTCAACATTGACATTCCTCAACATACCATAATTTTGGTTCCAAACTTGGGACAAACAGTTGAAGTGATTTTTGATTTGTCAGCAGTCCGTATTCACATGTTCTGATGGTTCGGAACAGAAAATAAATGAACTGGGCTTTTATCTATCCACAAAATGTGGATTCACTCTGGTCAACCAACATGGTCATCTCAGAGGTAGCCATTTTGCTCTAAGTAGTCACAAAATTAAAAGCAATCATTTAAATTTTTTTTAGTCAATAGAGGTTGAATGGTTTACAATAAGTCACTTTATAACATGGCTGATGTTAAACAAAACGTAGTACTATTGAGTGAAAAACTGTTTTGTTGGGTGTAATGTAGCGGTCAGAAAAGTTCAACTTTTTTGGCACAACTTCTTGTTGATGAACCCCACTTGTCTTACATTTCAGTGGTTATAATCTTCTTTGATCAGGTGACAAAACAGTTGAAAGATCACAATGTTTCTTTTCATGAAAATTACTATTAACAGGTTTTTTCCAGATCTACTGAATTCTTTTCTCACTGCAACCAATTACCACTGCTGCTATTTCAGAATTAATTTGCCTGATTCAGTAAATTCAGCAATCTGTTTATTAAGTGAAAATGTCAAATTTGATTTACATGTTACTTTACCCATCTAAAAAATACAAAAGCAGTTATTTAAAATGTGTAAAATAGCGAAATCTACATAATTTTAAAATGGACAAAACATTTGGGCCAACAAGAGATAAAAACTAAGTAATAATAACTTTATATAAATTAATCTGTTTTAATAAAGTAACCTGTTTTAATTTGTGCTATACAGATGTTATTGATCATTCCTGTGCATTAAACCTACTAATTCATAACTTTAGTACTTCTCTGGGTAAACTTTTAAAAAAGAACATCTTTTTGAAATTAAAATTTGTAATTTTTACAAACCATTTGGTAATGTCTAAAAAATTTTCCACACTGCTAAATAGGTGAACAAGGTCAAGGTTAGTTGGCAAAGACACACTAAGACAACCAAGTTTTGTCTAAGAGTTTTACAAAAAAAATCAAAACCAGCCATAAAGTATGGACAAAACCGTGTATATTGTGTTTTTGAAAAAGCATTCATCTTTCATATCATTTCTTTTAATGTTACTATTTGAATCATTTTTAGTCTAGCAAAATAAAATAAAAATTGAGTTTAATGTTTTTCTTTGTATTTTCATGTTTATCAAACAGAATAGTTCTGAAAAAAAAGAGTATCTATTTAATAAACTTCAAGTTAATTCATTATTAACATATTGTGATTTATTGACAAAAAATTATGTTGCAAAAAATGCTGAATGAGTATAAATTAGAAAATTAAAACCTGAATATCATCAGAACCGTAAGAAGTTTGATACTAAGACTATTATACTAATTTTTGTGAGCCTTATAAAATATATGAAAAATAGCAACATCTAAAAGATGGTGATATATTTTTGTTTTCAGCTGATTTGATATGACTTGTCCGTATAGCTGATTTGATAAAGAATGACCTAAATTCAATTTAAACTTCTAGTTTGTTTTTTTAAATTTGTTATACTATAGACAGAGACTTAAATTATCTGATTTTTTAATTTACCATATTTTCATAACATTTTAGAGCCCATATTTTTACAACATTTTGGAGCCCATATTTTCATAACATTTTGGAACCCATATTTTTATAACATTTTTACCATATTTTCATAACATTTTGGAGCCCATATTTTTAACAAAGGAGAAACTTGAGTTGTCATTTCTTGCAAAACCTTTTCAATTTCTTCTTCCTAGACGTAAAATTTTTAGACGTAAAATTTTATTGTTAAATTATTTGATCATGAAAATTCAAATTTTCAAATAGGAAAAAAATGTTTATGTTTTTACCTTTACAGGGTCCTGCATTTTAAACTTTCTCGCATTGGTACTTTTGGTAAACTTGCATCCATCAAAAAACATACTCCATGAACAACCAAATGAAAATGAAGCTCCTTGTGATTCTTCAACTTCACCTTGACACAAACAGGTTTTACTAAGAAACAAACATTAGTACACTTTTGACACAAACATGTTTTACTAAGAAACAATTATTAACTAGTACATTTATGATTGTATGCTTTTTTTTTTTTAACTTTGAGTTTCCTAACTTTAAAGAGAAACCATTATATAATAATAATAATAATAATAATAATAATAATAATAATAATAATAATAATAATAATAATAATAATAATAATAATAATAATAATAATAATAATAGTTTGCAAAAATGTTTCTGAAGTCAATAAACATACTTTAACTTATTTTACAAATAAACTAAGTATAAACAATATTTAAATAAGTTTCATTTTATACTGTTAATAGAATTTTTCTTCAACTAATTTGTTAAAAATTATTATTTTAGACTGCATAGAAAAAAAGAATAATCTGCTAGATTTCCCAACGTGATAGCCAGTTTAATGGCACTGCCTATGCCACATAGTTCATAGTTCCACCTAATGGCACCACCTATGCCAAAAGAATGGTTTCGAATTCCCCAAAAAAATTTTAATCTTGTGATTAATGAAATTTAACAACTCAAGTTAAAACAATATTTTTGTTTATCTTGAGTTGCAATAAAAGTTTTTATACAATTTTTTAAATCATATTTATTATTAAAGATGTTTTTGACCAAAGATTCAAAAGATCAAAAGTGAAACAAACAAACAAAAATTGTATATAAGGCTCAGATTTTTAACAAGGTTTTTTTTAAATACATTAGAGACGCTTAAAACATAATTATTACACATGACAAAGAAATGAATTAAGTTGATAAATTTTTTTTAATGTGAAAAAAGCGCTTTTATAAATAAGCAAGATCAATCATTTAAAAGTAAAAATAAACTTTATTTTTTTAATTGTTGTCTGCTATTCTCTAGTTTAGATTTTCAATATGTCTAATATATTGTTTTTTTAATTTAGTCTTATTCAAAAACTCTTTATTTACATTTTTATTGTTTCTCTTAAGAAAGGAAAGTTACAAAAATGTTTGTGTATTAATAAATAATAAATAATATATATTAATACAAGTTAACAATATTTTTATATTATAGGAATTAAAAATACTTTCGGTAAACTAAATTTGCTGGTAAAATACGCCAGAAATAACAACAAAAAAATCAAAAATAAAAATGGCAATGAAACAAACCCTTTATGTTATATTTGTGTAAAACATAAAACAAGATAATTAAATATAAATAAATTTTTAAATTTTTATAATTTTTTTAATTTAATTTACAAATGCAAAAGTTTAATTAACAAAAAAAATATATATAAATGCAAAAATCAACTTTTTTTTTAATTTACAAATACCAAATTTATGTTAGCTATGGATTTGTAAATTGAATAAAAAATAACTAATTTTTGTATTTAAATTACATATAAATTTTCGTACTGAACAAAAACCTTTTAATGGTCAAGTATAAAAATCGTTACTCAAATTTAGTCATTGAATTATATACATACATACATAGTTTTGTGTAATACAAACTGTAGTTTTAAAGAGAGGACGAATAAACCAGACCAGAAATAGTATAAAAACCTGAATAATTTTTTTTTTTTAATTAAATGATAGACTGCCTGCCCTAACCAAACCCTCAGTTGATGTAGCAGTAGATTGTAGCAACATTCCGTTGCGAGTCAGGCTATAAGATAGTCGATGTAGCAACACTCCATTGCGAGTCAGGCTATAAGATAGTTGATGTAGCAACACTCCCTTGTAGCAGCAGGCTATAAGATAGTTGATGTAGCAACACTCCGCGTATGTTTTGAAAATATAATTTAATAAAACAACAACAAAAACACCATTAATTAAAAAAACTTTCTAGTCATTATTATTGCAGCCTTTTTAAAAAACAATAAAATTTAATGTACTTTTGCATTAATTTAATTGCTTTGACATTTCGACAACAATAAAATGTAGCTTAATTGTTAATGTAGCAAAATTGTAGTCGAAAGAGACTTTTTTCACATTAAAAGTCTTTTTTGACTACGATATAAGGATATATAATATATAAGGATATATAATATGTAAGGATATATAATATATAAGGATATATAATATATAAGGATATATAATATGTAAGGATATATAATATATAAGGATATATAATATATAAGGATATATAATATATAAGGATATATAATATATAAGGATATATAATATATAAGGATATATATATATATATATATATATATATATATATATATATATATATATATATATATATATATATATATATATATATATATATATATATATATACACACACAAATTTAGTTATATTCTGTGACTAAATTTGATTTCACAATTATTGTTATGTACCTCTCATATCAGCCATTATTCATTAAATAAAAATGGGAAAAAGAATTAAACTAACCTTTCATTTGCACTACATCTTCGTCTAGTCCGAAACCCAGATTCATTCAAAGTTTTGGTGAGATATCTATACATATCATCAGCATACTGTTTAGAAATACCTTCCCATGCAACTATAACAATAACAGTAAATGTGCTGCTGCAAGTATGACCTTCATGGTGTCGTACAACAACCAAATATTTCTCCTCATCACTTGTTCTACGTATTATCTGATAAAATGTGTAAATATACAAATCTAGTTATTTAACACAATATTTTTATATTACTTTTTCATTTTTTATGGTTGATTTTAAAACTATAAATTAAAATTGAAGACAATTCACTGTCTTTATGACAGTATACAAAAACTTCAAGTGTTGATCTCATAAATAGTGAATCGACAAGCTTAAATACGCTTAAATAAGAGATTAAATATGAATAAAAATATGCTAAGGGATTAAACATTAACAAAAATATGCTCAGGGATCAAACATAAAATAAAATAAGGTTTATAACATTTGAATTATCTGCTTGTTTTAAATTATTTTAATTACTTTTTGTTGATATTATTTCTTATAATATAAACTATTAATGAAATAATACAAGTTGATTAAACCTTTAACTGTTGCCTAATATTGGTGCACAATAGCTCCAGTGTTAGGTTAGTTTTGGAAAAAATAATCAAATGTAACTTAAAATTACATAATAAATTAAACAGAATTCATAAAAAACGAAATAGAACACAATACTGTTTAAAATCAATAAGTTTAACAGTGTGATATTTCTTGAAGCAAGGCACATCACATAATCCAACTTTACATTTGGTACCAAAAATTTTGTGATTTTTTTCATTGTTTGTTTGTTTTATTATAACACGTATATTTTACAGCATTATCTTTGTGTGCAGCAGCCAGCATATACTGGATGAGGCGCCCACCGTGATGCTAAAAGTAAACTCCATTTGTATTCTGTATTTTGAAGCAATTTACTCTATCAACTTTAGTTGAAAATCATCAAGCTTACCAATCTTCTTGTTATATTGCTTTACTAGTTGGAACAACACAAGTAGGCAGCAATTTTTTGTATAACACCATCATGATTCTCTTCAGAGAAGATATGTGCCATTAATCACAACATCTAAATCATCACACATAGTGTGTGATGATTTAGATGATGTATCATTTTTGAATAAATTGCAAAAACTGTCCAATTTTTATAGAAAATCAGACTTTTAAGTCACTATTTTCACAGACTACAACATATTTTTTTTAAGTTAAAGCTGAAAAATAATTTTAATTTCAAAAAACAATAAGACTTAAAACTATTTTCAATAAAAATCTCAGGGTTTTTTTTATAGTCTTTTAGGTATTCTAAGAAGTCCTAATGGTCTTATAACAAAGCATTACAGAAAACAACTTAAAGATAGCAGACTGCAACTGTTTGAATTTTTGTTTTGGAAAAGGTAAAAACAATACTCAGCAAGGCAGTAAGTTATTTTGACAAATAATACCTAGCCTATATATATCTAGTCATAAAGCCAGATATAGTTTTTAGAATTGCAAGACACTGTTATGAGCATGGAGCAACCAAACTAGAAAATAGAAGAGGAGACAAGAAGAAAGCAGCTTTTTTCTAAAAAGAAAAAAGCTATTAAAAACCATTTTAAGAGTTAACATGTAGACCGATTTGTTATAGAATAAATGATTCTTCAGAACATAAAAAATATGCCTTCTGATTAAGATGTAAAGCGCCAACATTTTAAAAATAAAACAATACAACTATTTGTTCAAATGTGGGCTAACATTATTAATATAGGGTATTTATTAACCATTAAAATTTAGCATTTGGATATCCAGCAACAGACAAATGCTCTACACTAATCATTCAAGTTTTCTATAAAATTTTTTAGCTTTGAACTAAATACTCTTAGTGTGCATTATTTTATTTATGATTATTAAATTAAAAAAGATTTTTCCACATAAACTTTTTTATTTTGTGTTTTTAATAAATTCATTTTATTAAATAAAAAGAAAATTTATTATAAAAATTTATAACAAGACACTAGCACTTTACATGCTTTTATAGTTACCCTTGTGAATTATTTTTAAAAATTTTGAAATATTTACTCAATTATATTAAGCATATCAATTATAAAACAGTATAACAAATATAAGAAAAACCTGTGTTTTAGGGTAGATCTTTTAATACATAACATATTTATTAATGAAATGTAATAAAAAATATGTAAAATTTTTTGTTATTAAGTAATATTTAGATATTCAACATTAAAAAAATAATAATAATAATAACAATGACTGAAAATAAATATTGTTTTTATCTAACTTCAATTCAGTAATGATTGAAGTGATACTAATAAAGTATGTAACTAAATTAATAATTAGTTATTTCAAAATAATCAATAGATATCTTCACAGTTCCGATAATTTCATTCGCCCGCATATTCAATAGTATGTCATTAGGGTGTAAACTAGTCGTGTGGAGCCCCATCAAATGCCGTATTCCTAAATGCCTAAAAAATTTAAACTCCCAATTTAAAGGTGAAAAAATTCCATTCTCCGAATAAATTTTTTCAAATTAAAGTTGAATTATAATTCTAAAAATTATTGAAAATTAATAGAAAAGTTAAAAAAACACTCTATTTTATTAATGGTGTAAAACTTGAAATAAAATCAGCGTTATTGGTATAACTACACGATTGCATTGCATGAGGAAATAAGATTTCTTTACTGCTTGCTTTTATTTAAAACGTAATTTAAATATATATATTTAAACATAAATTAAATAAGTTTAATAACAAAAATGTTTTTTTATTACAACAAACTGGTACTTTAAAATTAAGAAAAAAGAAAACATGAGTCACTGCTTGCTTTAAATGTTTGAATGAACCATAGTCATAATAACATTTTTTGACTATGAATGAAAAAATAAATATTGGTATTCTTTGTTGCCGTGTAGCGTGCAAGCGTGATGAATATTTTTTTTGTAATTAAACAACTTTTGTTTTATGTTTTTTGATTAATGTCTAAAGAAAACTATTATTATAAAAATGAACTCGCAATAAATGTGAAATATGAAATTTATGATCTATTACTTTTTTTACTATTTTTTACTATTATTTACTATTTTCAAACCTGTTCTATTTTTAAATCTTTTGAGGACACAATTTATTACATGATGGTGTAAAGGTTCGTCCATAAAGAATGTCAAGCAGATTTTAAATAATAAATAGAAGTTGAAGATCATTGGCTCTCTTCCGCTGAGATTTTCATTGAACTTAAATTGCTATATTACTTTAAAAATCACCGCTTAATGCCCACCATTGAAAAAGAAAAGTTTATTTAAAAAAAATTCGCTCAAAATGTAAGCGGCAATCATATATTAAGATTAAAGAAAATCAAATATATTACTAATAAATTAATAATAATTTTAATACACTGATTATTTCATAATATAAAAATTTATAAATCTTAATATATATTTGGAAATTGGAGCTTAATTTGCCGTGTCATTGTGAAACTACATCTAATTTTGTGTTAATTTTATATTTATCTCCAATGTATGTTACAGACAGTATTTTATTTTATTTTTGGTGCTGTCCAATTAATGTATGCAGCACTGCAGTGGAGTAGAAAAAGTAATAATATAAGAAAAAAATTCCACGCAATTCCGGAACACATTTTAATATCAGAATAGGTTGAATTGGGAAATTTTTTTACAAACTCTCAATTTGGTCAAAACCCTGTATCAAATTTATTTCCGGTTAACACTCTGGTTTGTTATGCGCAGAATTGCATAAAAACAAGTAAAATACACATAAATTTTGAAAGAAAATTTACTTTGAAAGAAACAGTTGTTTACTTAAGATTTTTTTTTTTTTCCCCATAAAAAAGGTATTGATTTAGTTTTATATAAGTATATTTTAACAATTTTAAGTCTAAAATCTATACTGTTTATGTTTTTGTTATATAATATTTGTAATTAAGGAAAAAAATAAAAAAAACAAATTTGTATGTTGAGTGTAAAAATTCTAAATAGTATTTAATGAAGTCAATGTATTTTTGTTAAATTTAATTCTTAAATTTTATCACCAAGCACTGTCGCACACAGTGCAAAAAAATTTATTCAATTATCACTTGAGCAATTTTTACAACACCACACTAATGCTCAGAGTTGGACTTCTTATGAATATGAGTAAACTCTGTTTTTGCCCCTGTTTATATGCCATATAAGCATATAACCATGGGCGAGCAAACAAAACTTGTCCGATCTATTATTGCTAATTGAGAACCATGGCCTCAGACCTTAACATTTTAAAGAGGACAATCAGCAGGATTATTAAATACAACTAGGGGCTAAATCTTGTGCCAGAACCAAAAAGATTCTGTAAACTGAAGCTCTGAAGGCTAAGAAGTTGGAAATAAGTAAGAAGGCTCTCTTATACTTGTAAGAAAAAACATCCTATCATTCTGCTTTCAGATGAAAAATATTTTACATTATATCTGAACTCAAACAGCAGAACTGACAGGTATTTTTCTTGGTGTATAGGATGTCCTGGACCATATTAAAGTCAGGTCAAGCACCCTAGTCAGATAATGATGTTTGGCCTAGTAACTTCCAACAGCCTCAAAAATATTCAGTTTTTTTACCAACAGGCTTCAGAATGGGTTAAAAAAGATTTAGATCAAATTCAAGCACAATGTGCTTCCCTGGATATATGGCAACTTTAAGAATAGTGACAATTTAGTTTTTATGCAGGAAAGTGTATCCTGTCACACAACAAAACTCATCCAGACAAGGTTCTCAGAGAACTTTTCTTACTGGCTTGAAGAAATTTGGCCTCCTAACTGCAGATTTAAACCTCTGGATATTTTGACATAAATATTCAGGCCAAGTCTTGTAAGCAATAACACCTAAATATTGAAGCAGAGACGAAGCCAGTTTTGATACCATAAGAGCCCAAAAAACTATTTTTTTTTTTGCCTTTTTATTAAAAATATAAAAAATTTTGGTTTTAAATGCACTAGTACACAACTAATTTTCTGTTTACTTAATCAAATATAAAACCAAATATAAAAAATGAGAGTGCTGCTACAATGACTGGCAAATAAATATGAATATGTGAAAAATAAATAGAATATGTGAGGAGTGTTGAAACATTGACTACAATAGTAGAACAAGTGAGTAGTGCTCCTACATCAACTGAGGGCTTTGGTTTGGGCAGGCAATAAAAAAAAACCATAAACTCTTCCAAGAGAAACATTAAGACAATAAAAATGAGATTTTTGTTAGCATCTTGATAATTAATTTATTTTGGTAAATTTAATTAAATCTAAACTTATTTTATAAAGTCTTCACACTTAATAATTCTTTTAAGCTTTTTTAATGTAATTAAAATTCCTCCCTAATTAACTTGGTCTATAAAAATTCTCTATTATGTTAATCTTTGAACTTCAGATTTTTAAAAAGCATTTAATAGAAGTTATTTATTTTAGTTTAAAAACTTGTTTTTTGTTTTTTAGTTAGTGGAAGTGATTCAATGATTTACAGAGATATGTCAAAAAAGTCTCCTTTAAAAAAAAATTTTATTGAATATCTATTTAATACCTTACCCATTTCGCTAGTGGACATCCATCACCATTTTTCCCCTCAACAGAAGTGTGCTTAACTAATTGTAAGTTTAATGCAGAATTTTGAATACTAAACCTGTAAAAAAAAATTTTAAGACGAATTTTAAAATAACTTTGCAGCATGATAACTGCAATAGAGAAAATAGAGAGATCTTACAAGAGAAATAGGAGTATTACAAGAGGAAGAAGATTATTAAAAGAGGAAGAAAACTATTATAAAATAAAAAAGAGAATTCAATGAACCCTAACAACATCTTTAGAAAGTAACTACATCTAGTAATTTTTCCCCAAGTCCAATAACATCTGGACAAATTTCCTCCTGATGTAAATACATCTGAAAAAATCTTATATTTAAATACTTCTGGTTAAAAATACATTTATATTTAATGATAAATGCATTATAAATAAAGTATTTATTTTTTTTAAATGTAACTACATCTGAAAAAAACCATATATAAACTACATCTGTAGTAATCATAAACTTTTTACATAGATGTTATCAGACATCAAATTAATAAATAGACATCATTGGGGAACCCATAGGGCTATTAATAAAATCTTTAGCAGCAGATGTAAGTTTGCATATCAAAGGTGGCTCTGTAACATTAATATTCCAGTCAATGAGGCTATAAAGATTCTCAGCATCAATGTTGAAACCAGGTGTTCTTCGATGCCTAAGGCTATAATCACCAACATCAGTTTGCTCGTATTCATTTCCACAGAGTAAAAGTTTTCATTCTTCACAGCTTGAGCTCTTTATTCTTTATTCTCACTACATATCATAACTTTATTCTCACTACATATTATAACTTTATTCTCACTGCATATCATAACTTTATTCTCACTACATATCATAACTTTATTCTCACTACATATCATAACCTTATTCTCTCTACATATCATAACTTTATTCTCACTACATATCATAACTTTATTCTCACTGCATTCATAACTTTATTCTCACTGCATATCATAACTTTATTCTCACTACATATCATAACTTTATTCTCACTGCATATCATAACTTTATTCTCACTACATATCATAACTTTATTCTCGCTACATATCATAACTTTATTCTCACTACATATCATAACTTTATTCTCACTACATATCATAACTTTATTCTCACTGCATATCATAACTTTATTCTCACTACATATCATAACTTTATTCTGGCTACATATCATAACTTTATTCTCACTACATATTTTTTTTTTTTTTTTTTTATTATTTGCATTCAGTCTCAACAAGGCTGCAAGCAACCACTATTAAGTTGGGAGTTACTAGGAAAAAAAAAAGAACAGAGTTATAGAGCAAGGAAACAGTTGACAGAAGACTTGAAAAGTTGAAGGTTGTATGAGTCAGGAAAACATGAAGATGGGAGAGAGTTCCAAAGGATTGAAGTGCGGGGGAAAAAACTAGATGAATAAAAGTTTTTAGAGCATGCAGGGACAGATACAGTAAACGAATGAGACTTAGCTGAATGACGAGTAAAACGAGAATGAATTTTAGTTGATGGAACTAGAGATGATAACTCCTTTGAGCAGTGACCATGATAGTATCTGTAGAAAAGAGAAAGAGATGCAACTTTACGACGATGGGAAAGAGGTTCAAGCTTAGCAGATAGTCCAGGTCCAACAACATTTACAATGCGTTTTTGGACCTTGTCAAGAAGAGAAAGTGAATCGTTAGAAGAACCAGCCCAAATATGACAACAATATTCCATACAGGGACAAATAAGAGATTTGTAGAGGTAGAGAATGGAATCAGAAGTAAGGAAATGGCGAGCACGATAAAGAGAAGCAACCTTAGCAGAAGCTAATTTAGCAATCGATTGTATATATGGTTTCCATGAAAGGTCAGTAGTAAGCGATAATCCAAGAAGACGTAAAGAGGAGGACTCAGTAAGAGGATTGCCATTCATTAATATAGGAATGTTGACCATATTACGGTAGTTGTTTGCAGTAAGCAATTGGGTTTTTTTAGAGTTGAAATTCATTAGCCACTGTGAACCCCAATCTATTACTGAAGTGAGATCAGATTCAAGATCAGCTGCTTGTTCTAGGCGATCGAAAAGAGAAGACTTTTTGTCAAGACAGGAGTATAAAGTTGAGTCATCAGCAAAAAGAGCTACTTTAGATTAAAGGTTGTCAGGAAGATCGTTTATGTAGATAAGAAACAAAACAGGGCCCAGGATGGAACCTTGGGGAACCCCAGAAGTTACTGGGAATAAAGAAGAGTGTTGGCCTTCAAGGATGACTTTAATAAACCGGTTAGAAAGAAATGATTTGATAATCTCAAAAGCTTTCCCATACACACCATATGAAGCAAGCTTATGGAGAAGACCAGCATGCCAAACTTTGTCGAAAGCTTTAGATATGTCGAGAGCAATAGGCCTAGCCTCACCGCCTCCATCTAATGCACGATAAAATCTTTCAGTTACAGCAGTTAGCAAGTCGGCCATAGAGTGAGAGGATCGAAAACCGTATTGATTGTCTGACAGCAGTTTATTTGACTCAAGATGAGATGTGAGGAATTTGTTGATCAAAGACTCAAAGACCTTGCTAATAACAGAAAGAAGAGTGATCAGATGATAATTGGAAGGGTCAGAATTTTCTCCAGAGTTTTTGAATATTGGAACCACAGATGCCATTTTCCAACAAGCAGGAAAACAAGACTCAGTCAAACCTTTGTTAAATAGTTTAGAGAGAATTGAAGAAAGTTCTGGAGAACAATTCTGCAAGACTGTGACAGGAATGTTGTCTGGACCACAAGCTGTAGTCGAGTTTAATTGAGATATGACTTTAGCAACAGAAGCCGGAGTGATTTGAATGTCTAACAATGGGTCAACCTGTTTGACTGGAATGGAAGGAAGAGAATGTCCATAAGATTCAAGAGTGGAATTAGAAGAAAAATTCTTTGCAAATAGTTCTGCCTTATCCTTGGGAGAGGTGATAAGATCAGTCCCATGAATGAGAGATGGAATGTTAGATCTACCCTTGTTAACAATGCTGTTGAAGATTTTCCAAAAGTCTTTAGAGCCTAACTTCTGCGATAAGATGCGAGATTTAGTGAACTGAGAATAATGGAGTTTAGCATCAGAAAGCACCTTTTTACATCGATTTCTTGCAATAATAAATAGCCGTTTGTTCTCAAGAGAGTTGTTCTTTTAAAAAAGATGAAAAAAATGATTACGATTGGATATAGCAGCCACACAAGAAGGAGAAAACCATGGAGTAGAATGAGGCTTGACTTGAAACCGACGAGAAGGAATAAAAGCTTCCATTCCAGCCTGAATCTAGGAGGTTACGTAGGAGGCGCATTTGTCAGCTGAGAGAGAAAAAACATCAGCCCAAGGACCATCACAAAGAAAATCACGAAAGGAATCCCAGTCAGCTTTAGGGTAGTAGTTGGTGGTGCGATGATAAGGTGAGCCCAAAAAAGAAGTACGAGAAGAAAGATTTATAGAGATCATTGCATGGTCAGAACCACCTAAGGGAGAAAAGGGAGAAACTGAACATAAGCTAGGGTCAGAGACAAGACATAAGTCAAGGAGTGAAGGTTAATGATTAGGGTTGTCAGGAAAATGAGTCACAAAGTTAACTATCTGAGTAAGAGATTGAGAAACGCAGAAGTTAAAGGCTTTAGTGCCAGCAGGATCAGTGGTGTTAGAGCCAAGCCATTCAGTGTGATGGGCATTAAAATCACCAACAACAACAATATTGGCAGAGGGGTAAAGAGAGAGGGCATGGTCAATTTGATCAGAGATAACATCTAAGAGAGTGCAATCATGGGAAGAAGGAGAACGATAAAGAACAAAGAGAAAGGTGATAGAGTGAAGAGGTGCTAGGCGAAAACACATAAAAGAATGGTCAAAGGATTCGAACCTGATTTCACGACAAATTAATGCGTATGTATACCCCTAAACCTAGCATGTGACTATTGGAGTCTTTACAAATCAAAGGATAGTACCCATCAACACTGACATCTGAAGAAGGAATTGCAGAACTTAAATTTGTTTCACTGAGTGCAAGCAAGTCTGGTGAATTTTGCAGGAGGTAAGACTCAACTGACGGAAAGTTGCTTCGCAGACCGCGAATATTTGTAAAAGATATATTAAAACATTTAGGTGGTGGGGATGGTTTTTTAGGTTTTAAATTTTTGGTTACTTTGGTCATGATTTGGGTTTAATGAGAACTTGACTCATTCATAGATAGAGCACAGCCTCCTAATCAATGAGCTATGCAGTTGTCTCAGTCCTGTTAATTAACCCTAAGCCGTGACATAGGGCTCCTTATGTGGCCTTGACAATGCACACCAAAAGCATTAACAGGGACACCATCCATGCGCAACATGGCACTGTTAATACTCTGATATTTTGCAGCTGTTGATGGAATCAGCCTCTCTGAGAGCTACCACAGAGTTCGGGAAACCTTACTACCAGCTGGCCTCAGAACCATTAAACTGAGTTTTAGAGCTGTACCCTCATATGGAGATAACAGGAAGAGTTGCGTAGCCATTATCGAGGAGGCATAAGCAAAATTCTATGAGTAGAGTCAAGGAGATCCAGCATTCATCATCCTAAGCAGGAAACAATGTAACACAGGTTACATCTACGCCAGCCTAATAGATGAAGAAGGGGTTCGAGGCTGGTTAGCAGAATTTTTCTGCTTACCCCTAAAGTCTTTGCCTAGGAGGCCTTCTACAAGACAGTAGCAAGATGCAGTTAACATCTGCCCAAGATGAGTATTTTTATCGAGACACCATCTCTAGCCTTTACTCAACCAAGAGCCCCAAGGCAGGGGATGTTTAGCTGGATGCAGTTAGCATCTGCCCAAGATGAGTGTTTTTATCGAGACACCATCTCTAGCCTTTACTCAACCAAGAGCCCCAAGGCAGGGGAATTTTTAGTCGGAGTTTATTTTTCCTAGCCTTTGCATAAGAAGAGCACACTCTGCAAGGCAGCAGGGCTTGTGGCAGGTGGTACTGGGTTACGTGATACCAGTAGCAAGATTGATCTCGATTATCCTGACCTGACCTGGAGTAGTTAAAAGTTACTTCCCGCAACAGTAC